GGTCGGAATTTGCCGAGCAGGAGCAAAGCAAATGAATTTCACAAGAATACAAAGCCAGAGAATATTCAGTCTCCAATATACACCGAAACAGATTCCATAGGGTATAAGAGGCAAACAAGAGATAAAAATTAGACGAGGGGAACAAAAGCAGCATGAAAACACTCGAACATACTTTGTATTATTAATAGGACTTCGGTTCTTTTAATTCTGTAAAATGTTCTTTGATGACGAGGAGCCCTTTTGTAGGAATATGTTGAGCTGGTTGTGCAATTGCGCCAGTCATGCCGCCTTATTCCTTCATCAATGAAACCCAATTCTCAGTTTATTTGAAGCTTTACCAAATCAAATTTTGAACCAACCCTATTATCTAACATGCTCAACTAGGGAAATACGTTTTAAGGAGGCATTACATTCGAATCGGCAGTCGCTCAGTCGGTAGAAACGTTTACTGGCTGTGTAAACCGATTACAAGGAGAAAATAGTATTCCGAGAAGGTTTCACAATTCAAGACAGCTCGCAGGGCCAAGAATGTTGAACATGTGCCAAGGGTTTCCGAGCATTTCACACTATAAGCTTGTGTTGCAAAGAGGATGCTTAGGTTGACGTAACGTCATTAATCTGATGACGTCATCAGTTAGCCTTCATTCATGTTTTATTTTATTAATGGAATAACTAACCTGTCTTAATTGCTGTTGGGAGCCTGATATCCCTATGGAACACATTCTGTGTACAGACGTTACAAAGTGGGGTATTTTGAACCTCGTGATTAACGTACAAGCTTTGAGATGTGATTGTGTATATTGGGTGGTGTCGGTGCAGAAATGGGGTCGGTTAGGTTGGGTATGGTTGGGTTAGGTGGGATGGGGTGGCAATAGCGCATAGGTTGTAGATTTGGGGCTGGTGTTGCAAAAAGCAAAAACAGACGAGGGCACTGTTGCACTAGGTGACCTTAGAGCCACGACTATTGTAAATAAAAGCGACCAAATCCGTTCCATTCAAAAGAAATACCTGCCAAAAGCAGATTCGCGTGTACAATTCTGACCATACCATGAGCATGAATCACTATCCAAAAGTGATGATACCAGACAAAGTTAAAATACTGGCTTTTCGATCGTCTTTAATAGAAATAAATTCTCTTGGATTTTCCCCCTTCTTTGGTCACTCTCGAAAAACGAAAACTCACTTCAATCGTAGCACTCTGATACATTTGCGAGTGACCGAATGAGTTGTGGCTGTTTTGCAGGTTTGCATTAAATATTCTAACATGAGGCCATTTTATTACTCTGTGAGCATTCCGAATAACCATATAAACCCTATATTCATTTTATGAGAATTCGCCTGAGACTGGTGGGACCACGGAATTGTCATATAAATCCTTTGCACATCTTCCGAAATCTTTTCAGCATCACATGAGTTCAGTCACTCCTCATAACCATTTCCTCGGAATCCTTATAACATTTATCACTCACGAAGGACAGGCATCACAGCACGATGGAATGAACAAGGTTATTGATGATGTATCGATAGTGACTGCACGGTAATCGGTGATCAGCTTTTTGAACCAACTTATGACCCAACGCACCATCACCAATTCCTGAATAGGAATGCTCGGCTATTCAGATTACGAAAGACAACGTCATTTGCAATTCTCTGGATTGTTCGTTATTCTAGCACCTCGAAGGTTATCAAACAACTGTGGCGCCTGAGAGTTATTCTGTCGTCATGTTAAACGGAGGAGGACCATTCCCCTCTAGCCTTCTCATGTCTAAACCATCGGTCACCGACAGAAGGAAGAAATATTTCGCTCTTCGGCGTCACTAACTGCTATTCTTGGACAAATTTAATCAACACATTTTCAAAGCATGTTTCAACGTCAACACCTGGCGCTGACCAGGAGACGGTCCTGATCCGTGAGTCGAAATGGTCACAAATCAGTAACAGAAGCCCTATGTGTCTCTCAGGAAACTGTGTTATTTGCAATGGCTGCACTTCTGTTTGTGTGACATGTGACGGGTTTATTAGAAGCTTGGCAACCAGCTAACGCATTCACCTATCAAACGACACTGGGCAACCGCAACACAGTTCGTTATATCTGAAGCATGTGACTTTAATGGTATTGAAATGTATTTATCAACCTTGCAGCACTATATAGTTGGGTGATGCTTAGCCGAGTATTAAAAACGAATGTAGCTATTATAGATATTTCAACTCATAAGAAGCTATGATGCTTTTGTCTTCTTCTACTAACCTACGGGAATAAAACATTGATAAATATTCGTTCTACAATATAAATTGGCAATAGATAAATGTCAAGGTCTTGGTATCATGGTGATTTTTTTCACGCCGCGCAATCAGGCTCGATGCTCCATTGAGGTACAGTGTGTGAAGCGATTTGTTGTATCCTTTGTCGTTATAAGGCTGAGGTACTGCTAAACGCGGTAACAAACATCCCCTCTCGCTGGGTCAAACATATCAGAAAAATGGTGTCATAATGTGTTTGTTACCCAAATCAACTCGATACAAGTTACCGTACACGTGCAACAAAATACATTGTACCAAAAAATATCCCAATCACCCACTTTGATAAATACCTTACATAAATCGATGGATCTTGACATGTTCATATCCATAATACGTGGGTCTAGTATTAGAAACAGGTACGGCCAAAACTGCTAGTAAATTATGTGAGAATATTGACACACCAGTTTCTCGTCGCATTTTTAATCAGCGTCAGACACATTGTTGGTTTTTTGCAATACCCTAAAGACATGCAAATTCGCTGTGTGCATTTAAGCAGATACACTTAATGGACGTTACTGGCTAAACTATGGTGTTAACCTAACTAGTAGGAATCCCTTCGGCTGAGTCTGATCACCGACTGAGATAACACATATCCCTCGGCAGCTGCCTTTTTCCAGGAAATCGAGTTATGTTGGTAGCATCTTATATGTTTCATTTCACCCTATGTCTAGCAGATATATCTGTGTCAGATTTAGCGCTGCAGGAATATGGTAAACTGTCATGAGTGAAAAAACCCATCTAGTCTAAGAAGCGTTTGTCTACCGTTGTTAGAAATACCATGCCTCGCAGATGCTTTAGACATTCAACCTTTTAAAAACGCAATGCATTCTTGTTTCGATATTATTTGTGCAGGGTACAATTTTTAAACTTCATTATCCAAACATATAATATTGCAACAGCATGGGCACCTTATGCGAGGTTACCATTATTAACTAATTTAGCACTACGGGGACTGGGTATACTGAAGAGCGTGAAAGAAGCCTTCCAGGCAAGAGCATCTGTTTACAGTTGGTTATAAAAATCATGCAATATCGCAGATTCCTTCACATTTACATGGCGTGCTATTTCAACTGAAAATTTTAAAACTTCATTTATCAAACATATAATTGCACCATCATGTTCAACGAAGGGGTCTTAATTATTATCAATAAAATACTTGCTTCTATACGTCCTTTATGCTCGTTTAATTTCAGAATCTGAGAAATGGCTGGCCTTTGAAAATCAACTAATTACTCTTACCCGGCAAATTTACAGAGCGTACACATTCATCACCAAGGTCTGAGGCCCCCTTAGCGCGATCAAGTATGTTTGCTTGACCTAGATACTGCCTTAACCTCCGGGTTGTCGCTGCATTACTCCTATTATCAAATCCCGGAACCGAGAAATTGGTTCGAAATCGGTCACGAAAATCAATTCTTGAACAGTGGATGGAACTAAGGAGAACTAGGTCTCAATGAAGCCACATCAATGTTGGCAATGGAAACATATACAATGAGGGATGCCGGTATACATAATCCAGCTTAAAGCTTGATTTGTTATTCCGTGTTATATACACTATCAAAGTCTGTTTTCATAATAATTGGAAAATGTTATGACAGCTTGCGAATAAACGTAAAATATGTATTCTTTCTCAGCATCCCTTTCCTGAAGTAAATGTATCCCACCGTGTATCTACGCGTGACATCTTGTAATGGGCGAACAACATCATTTTTACAACGCAAGAGCATCTCAACCTGCATATAAATCGCTTAGATTACTTATGAGGTCTTCCTGTTTGCTTTATGGTTTCAAAGCTATCAGAACTTACGCCCCAAACCCCACTTGTAGGTTTCAGTAAATGTGATTATGCCGATAGTGCTGTAACATCGGGTGTTTACAAAGCGACGTGTGGCTTCCTGCAAATGTGTTTACACGTCATGAAATGGTTAACCGCTCTGTTAAACTGAAAACATCATACGCAGGCTAGGATAACAGGCGAAACAGAGTATATTGATAACAACAAGGGCGATAAACTGCTCTCCCAGTGGTGTTAACGTGTATAAAACAGAGGCCATCGAGGTGGGATAGCAGCGCAAAGGGATTCTAAACTGAAACTGATAGAAGACTGCTTCGAATTCACAGCTCTGGTCGACAGATGTATTGCCAGTCGTTGACATGAATGAAGGAATATGACAATATCCCCTTGATAAGATAGTCATTACTAAGACTCTTTCCTAGACGATTGCAAACGATTGTAACATTATCATCTGGCAAGGGGACAAGGGTGGCCGAGTAGTCTAAGGCGCTGCATTTTGCTGTGCAGAATTGCGTCCCTTTGGCAGTCAGAAACATGTGATCTATGGTTCGAATTCCGGTTCGCCCCGATTGTGTTTCTATGTTTGTCAGCACAAAAGAGGTAAACGTCTGAGACATGCATCCTTTTGCGCTTTCCTCCCATATACAGCTGTCGCCGTGATATAACTGCAATGCTGTTGAAAGCGGTGTTAAACCTCTCTTCTTCGATACGAATCGAATTAATAGAACTAGAACTAGGAACTGGAACTAAGACGAATATATAAAACACATTGCATATTGAATTCTTCAATGATTGGCATTTCGACCCTAAATAATTGGCATTTCGTCTTATCGGTATTTACAGCATCTTTTGAATGATGAGTACTAGATGGGATAATTAAAAGGATAACCTTCGGATTACTTACCCAAAATATCTCTGATCTAAATCCTCTAAATCTCCTGTGGGACTCCCCTGTCTTTAGTAAGACCTCTGTGACGTAGCTGTAGTTATCTATACGAGAAAAGGCGTCATCCAGCGTTGTCATGACGAGAGTTGCATGGTGCTCTAGAGCCTCGTTTTCCCGCAGGTCATCCTCAGCCTCAAGGAATTTAAAGCTTGTGAACAAGGCCTTGAGTTCAGCGTTGGTTTTAAACAACCTGCGATGCAAAACAGTTCATGAGGGCACAAATGTATGAAGAAAAGTATCACGGAAAGCAGAAAGTGTCAAATAGACATTACAGCAATAAAAAGCTGTAATATAATATGAGCGGCAAAGTTCCAAAGAAAGAAAGACGAAACACATTGTTGTGAAGGATATATATCAAATATACATGCACTTGACATATGGAAGATTCTATACATGCACAACCGTGTTGCTGCTTCGTTCTTCCAGTAAATTAATTATTTTAACTGGTATCGATTTGGTGTAAGAATTGTACAATGCACACATTTCTATATAATGATGAAGGCAACCAGTTTCAATTATATTCCATGTAACCTTTGGGTTAAACAATATCTGCTATGAAAAAGGGAATGATATCAAATGTATTAACGTCGTTTGAGTGTAAGAACAGCATGTGGCATTCAATAAAGGACTTAACTCCCTTAAACATCGGTGTATTTGCATTCAACAAGAATAAAAGCTTTTAAATATTTAAGATCCAGAGGCGGTAGTAGTTTCCATTCGACCTGGCAGTAATCTTCGTACAAATACCAACGTCGATCATTCATAGAGAAATATCTTCTTGCTGAATACAAAAGGCATTATCACCAAATCAATGGCTGGATGCATCGAACCAGCGTAATTTGAACGGTTGTAATTAATGGCATGTTATCCAGAACCATTGCTTAATGACACCACTGACAAAAGCAAAGATGATTGTAACATTTTATTCACGCATCATGAAGGACTGATTTGATGCAATATGATATTCAAACCATGTCTGTATTATTTCATTATTGATACCAAACGTCGCGATGATGATAAACATTTTGGTCACGTCGAACGATTTCCCATGTACCATAGCCACCCAAAACAAGTAGATTAGATATGACGACTTTTGTATACCAGTAACAAGTATCAGGCTCAGGGATAATAATACACCCAGTGAGGTTTAAATCACTGACATTATATCGTTGTGAAATTCGATTTTCTCTGTGTTTTGTCCGTTCTCTTTCCCTGAACGACGCGGATTTTAACTATTATCTTACCTCGTTGCTAGGTTACAAGCGTGGTAGCAACATCGTTCATCTATATCAGTTAAAAAAGACTATTAATGTTTTATTAGGTATTGGTATCAAGTTCGTATGGTTGTGCGCTGTATGGTTGTGCGCACAAGCTATGGGCAAAGTCTTGTAACAAAAGGTTTTGTTTCACGCTGATCCCATTTTACCTAACGTGACTATTATTTCAAATCTACTTGGCGGTTTTCCGCAACATATTTGCACTGTAAATGACAATCTAACCCCGGGGGTGTCAGTGTTCTTGTTTCCAAATGATTCTCCAGATTTTATTGGTTTCTCATGTCCCACTGGTGAAGTGCATTGTAATTTGTGGTCGAGGGTGTTGAACATTGAACCATTAGTCACAGTTGTGCTCAGAGAAGGAAAGTACAAGCCCTTCACCAAGACACGAATTTTTCACATCTGATGAATCAGTGTAACAAGACCTTGCGTAGGTCACGACAGTACTCTCTGATCGTGTCTTCTCATTAACACTATATAGTAAATCTTCCTATCAAATCTATCAATCGATTTGATGTATAGCCAGATGTATGAATTTCATTTCATTTGTGGTTCGCCAGTTTTATTCTCAAAATTATATTTTTGATCAATGTTCATGGCCTTCAAAGTGCTTTAAAATGCGTGATTATATTGACTTTGTTTTCAAATTATATAATCATCACATTTAATAAAAATAAGAAGGTTCACAAGCTTTTTCTTCTTTCAAATATGCATCAATAATGTGGAAAGGTAGAAATGCTACCCTGGAAATAATGATTGTTATATCGGTAGAGGACCAATGCAATTGCAGTGAGTTAGGACGGTCTGACGTCGCTTCCACTCCTATCACTGCGGGGTACACAGGACTTTGGAATCAATTTTTCATCGCATTTTGAACATGTGTATAGTACTCTTGATAGAACGCTTGAATAGATTAATTTTATAGTTACTCGGTTGTCCATAATGTCTTGAAATTACATGCTGTGGTGTATAAGCAGGACCAATTTCATTATTATTGCCTACGCGTCGAATGTTCCGTATTCGAACAGTATTGTGAAATCAAGGACCTGTACTGTCTTCCCTCGCCCGTTTCAATATGCTGATAATGGCAGTTAGGAAGCAGCCCATGCTTCAAAATTTGTCCAGTGACAATATGTGCTTGGTAAAAGGAGTCTGCGAATGATCTCGTTGGCAGCCCAGTGTCGAGATGGACACCAGATCGATCCACAATAATTGGGTATATTTCTCTTCAGGCGAAATAAACGTTAGGAACATCTCAGCAGTCGATGTCTTGGACTGGAACAAGCCTTACTGGTATTGCAAAAAGCCCTTGTGTTTCCCCAGTGTTATCAACGGGTAATCGGTTTAGGGACATCAGTGACGCCGTTGATGGAATCAATTTGGAAAAACAGAAAGTTCGTGTCTCTTACTGTAACACCTTAAGTGTCAAGCGTCATTGTAAAGTGCTTCGTTCAATGTCGAGTTATGTCAAGGCAGCATGACTTGCATAAGAAATGTTACTTCGCGATCATCTGGAATCAGCACTATTTGACAGTGCTTAATAAAAACATGCTTTTAATCATGCAATGGATTTCTGATGATTTTGGAAATGGATTGGTCGCTTTTATTAAACACACTGTAGCTTGAACCAATATGTACATTCATGTATCGGTAATACATGTTAAGAATGTGGTTAAGCAATACAGCGACTAACGGGATCGGGTGGTCAGGGGCTCGCTGACTTGGTTGATGCATGCCATCGATCCCAATTGCGTAGATCGATGGTCATGATGTCAATCACTGGATTGTCTGGTCCTGATTCGATTATTTACAGACCGCCGTCATATAGTCGGAATATTGCTGAGTGCGGCGTAAAACAACCAACCAACCAACCAACCTGGTCATTATCGGTCGTCTTTTTTATTGTCAGTTTTTATGCCGATCATGATTATCCTACAGAATTTACGACGTGCAGTACGCGACATCGGGCAAGTGATTAACCGTTTTATCAGTTCCATTGGAAACATTAAATGATAACTCACCCCCGTCCTCTTCCGTAGTAGAATATGAACGAGAGGTGTCTGAAACGGTAAGTTTTTCTGTAATGGATACAGTACTGTCCATGCTTACAGGCTGCATTTGGACCAAATACTCAACCAGGCAGCATATTTGTGCAGGCATCAAAGTGACTAGGTATTCTCTGTTGGATACCGCGCTGTCATAAAGATCTTCAACTCCACCAGCTATCCATGCGGACATGGCTTCAAAATTGTTTTTTTTATGGGACGGTGCTCCTTCCTTTTCAGATAGGAAGTGGGTAGGGGAAGTACAATACTGAGATGACTCACGATCAGGAAGACCTTCAACTGCCACCACAAATCAGAATGTATCACATTACCAATACAGTACGCATGAGATAGTTGAGAACATTCAGAGGAATTAACAAGGCATGACAAAGGTTTCAGCACTCTGGCTTCTACGGTTCATGGTCAAAAACTCTCCAGATCCATCATCTCCCGTAGGAATTTGCCTCGTTTTGAAGCAGACCCAGTGTTGAGTGATGTGTAACTATAGATGAGTCTTGGGTTCACTACCATCAGCCAGAAACTAAACAACGGTCAAAGCAGTGGAAACATCTAACGTATTCTGCTGTGAAGAAGGCAAATATCTTCGGTTTTCTGGGATTTCAAAGGAATCCTTCTGTTGGACTACCTCCCGAAAGGCCAGATCATTAATGGTAAATATTATGCAAATATGCTTTCGCAACTGCGTGAGAATATCAAAGTTAAACGTCGTGAAAAGATGATTAAAGGTGGGTTGTTCTACCAGAACAAAAGTTTGTTGGATATTTATTTTAATTTTTGAATATCCTCCACAATCACCAGATTTAGCAGCGTTAGATTTCCCCCTCTTTCCGAAATTGAATAGAAACATTCTCTGGCAAGGATTATTTCTGCTGTAGGGGATTTGCTACACCACCAGCAGGAAGCATTCTACACCAGTGGGATCCAGCCACTTCATGATCGCTGGCAGAAACATGTCATCCTCCAAGGGGTTATGTTAAAAAATATTTAGCACCCGACTCACTCTATTAAATGTACGAAAGATGTATTTGTTTAGTTAGTTTACGTATTTGGTTTACTGTCGGGCAATATTCCAACACCTCCCAATCTCATTAAAACCAGATCTTAGTTCTCGCTACCGCTAAACAAAGATCTGAGGACATCCCATTACGGGTCACATCAGACCGACCTGTACCGGTAAGTACTGGTAACTTGTAAAAACACAGAAAATACCAACTAACTGTTTGCTTGGCTTGCTAGAAGTTGGCAAAATAAGTAAGGAAAAACGTACAACTTTAAGGATAACAACTTCTGGTTTATTGCATATAGCGACGTTTCGATGTAGATTCTTCAAGCTTGATAACGGTGTAAGTATCTACATCGACACGTCGCTGAAAGCATAAACCGGAAGTTGTTATCCATAAAGCTGTACGTTTTTTTCTTACAGAAAATATCATACTGCGAAAGCGCCAACACTTTGTGAAAGCACTGACTCTATTTGAAAATATACTATGAGTACGTTCTGACAATATATTGAAACACGGACAAATGATAAGGAAACAGCACTAGCGCTATTGACATGAAGGTTGCAACGCTGACATTTTAATCTAAGAGCGCTCACATAATCAGCATTAAAAGTAAAACGAATAACGTAAGTGACGTTTCCCTCTCAACCTACTGGAAGCACTTACCGTCCTTCTACACTACCTCAAGGCAATCCACATGACAACAAAGAAACACGCATCGTAACACAACCGTTAATTAAAACAGAGGTGGTTTATGCTTGCAATCAATGGGACTATAGACTGGAATGGACGTAGAATGAACTAAACCAAGTCATAATCAATCAAGGAACTAAACCGAGGTAAAAT